GTAATAATACCTGTAGTATATACGTGTACTTGTTCAAGCATGTTATTAGTTACCATAAGTGAAACATTGGGAACATTCTCAAAAAAGTAGTCCAAGTTTCTTTATTTTAGAAACTATACAAAATAGATCATGCACTTGAAATCCGTAAAAACATTGACTGTCCATCGTCGTGCTGAATATTAGATCTTCACCCCCACATTGCCATTCCACTACAGCTTAAAACTGACACGTTTCACCATATTCTATCTGCAATATATGTAAGTATAGACTTTTTAAGTATCACACACTCAAATATTTGACTATGTAAATAAAACAAATCTCTACAGATAAAATGAATTATATGGGACGCTTAAGGGCAAACATTTGACTGTGTAAATAAAACAAATCTCTACAGATAAAATGAATTATATGGGACGCTTAAGGGCAAACATTTGACTGTGTAAATAAAACAAATCTCTACAGAATTGTATGGGACGCTGAAGGGTAAAATACTGTGACTAATGCTTTCACCTTTGTTCATTAGTCACATGACAACTACATGAGAAAAACAAGTATTGCGTTGAATTCCACAAACTGGACAGACAAACCAGAAATTCTATTTTCGTATCTCTCAAGCTTCTTATGATCAAAGACAAGCTATATATATGTGTGTGTGTGTGTGTGTCTTATTTCACATTTTATAAATCCATCATATTTACTGTCTATCATTACAGAATAAACTTTGCAAGCAAAACAAACTGTATGTCAACTTCATTAACTCTAACAATGAAGAATGGATTCTGTATGTCACTGAACTTAACAATCAGCAAAACAAAATTATCTATTCATGCATATTACATAACAATATAGAAAACTACATGTACATTCTCAATATCTGATTCTCAAAATAGGAAATTATTTTCTGCCTCAAAGCTATTACTTTCTGTTTTTTAAATCTTGAACTTACACATTTGCCATTTAAATATAATTTTACAAATATGACTCACAAAGGTCTATACATAATCTAACTTCTTGAAGGTGTAACCATTTAGGCACGTAAAGCAATAACAGTATCGTTCATTTTACAATTTGGACAGTGTTCTTCAATTTTATCTGAGGGACAAATTACTCTAACAAGCTGACAGCATAATAACCTTTGATATTTACAAATAACACAAACTGAAATATGTATGGATTACCAAGATTAAATTAACTTTCATACAAGTTTGTGTATGATCTTCGTCATTCTTCTGTTGTTATAAGATTTACGAAAATTTAGTAAAGTTCACTGTAGTAACAGGAATAAGTTAAATTCATAACACATTATCACACGGTTCTCCTTAAGTTACAATTTCCGAAATTTTTATATAAAAAAAAACGAAAGGTGACTAGCAGAGATGGGTGAATGTTATCCACTTTTACAATAGTTTTGTGATCATCATTAAAATACAACCTTTTGATGGTAAATACATGTACAATGTTGAACCTATTGTCACCACAACATTATTATTTCTGCCGGTGGAAAAAAAAAGTTAGGGGACTGGGTGTTTGATGACATTCTCTAGGTCTCAGGCTAAGTAAAAATTGCAGACAATCGCAGAGATAATTGGAGTCCCCCCATCCTACAGACCTATAAAAAACTTATATTCAACCTATGCTAAATGTACGACGACTTTCTTAAGTTTTGTCTGAACGAAACCTGTCATCCACTATCGAGTTCGTGATTGAGGAAATATCCGTTTTGAAATAGTTGAAGAATAATCACTTGATATATAACTAAAGGTTCTTTTACGATTACGATTGTCAACTCCTTTTCTGTATTGTTCATTAATGAAAAACGTGTTTGATGCTTTGTTAAACTAATAAGTTCAAATAGTATAGTGTACATAAAGTTAAGTTTTTGCACTGCTTTTTAAGTGAAAAAGATAATACACGTTACCGTAACATTGTTTCAAAAATCTATGTCAGTTTTAAAAAGTTACTTTTTCTGAGTCTGAAACATGAATGAACAAACATAACTTGTGATTGGAAGCTTGCTAATATTTAAATAAAAATTAAATAATTTGTTGTAGGCTGAACTTGTGAACGAGTTTATCAACACTACCTGGAACCAACTATCTCTGTTACCATTCAAGTACATAATTCGTTGTATTGTATAATGAAATCTCATACATTTCATACTTTTAACCATTAGTGTATAATGAAACTTCATATATTTCATACTTTTAACCATTAGTGTATAATGAAGTCTCATACACTTCACACGTTTAAGTATCATAAATTAGAATTTAATAAATCTTACATTTTGAAAAATTATTCTAAGTCGACTGGCACAAGTCTGTATATTTGATCGTTTGTTGTACATCGGGCACAGTATGCAATAATTGTACGCTAACTAAAATGTCCCCTCAAATATTGAGAAATAAAATATTGTGAATACACGTTTAGTGTTTTGTATCACTATGTAATGTGAAAATTTCAGTAGCATACAAAAACTCTAGTTAAATTGTGGTGAACATTACATTTATGTAGAAAATTTATGATTATGTAGAGTTTGAACCGTTTATTTTCAATATTAAATATAATGTAAAAATATAGCGACAATGTATTATAATTGACTTTTATTTTAATAAAAGTTTTTCGCCTCTTCTTTCTAGCCATTGATGACGTGTTGAGACAATGAGATCATCATCTTTTGTTTATAGAAACACCGTCTGTATGTGTGTGATCACGTGAGGATATTTGTATTTCCTGACAGTCAAAGTTTTGATAGTTTGACATCAGTGTCTACACAGAATGGCCCGGCATGGCCAGGTAGATAAGGCGCTCGACTCACAATCTGAGGGTCGCGGGTTCGAATCTGCATCCCACCAAACATGCTCGCCCTTTCAGCCGTGGGGGCGTTATAATGTGACGGTCAATCCCACTATTCGTTGGTAAAAGAGTAGCCCAAGAGTTGGCGGTGGGTGGTGATGACTAGCTGCCTTCCCTCTAGTCTTACACTGCTAAATTAGGGACGGCTAGCTCAGATAGCCCTCGTGTAGCGAAATTCAAAACAAACAAACAAACTACACAGAATATGTTATAATGGTTGTTCCGTTGACTTTTGAAAGCAAAAC